TGGGCAGCCAGAACCCCGCGGCCGGCCCGGAGGCTCGCAGCACGCTCGCCAAGACGGGTGGCACCGTGGCCCAGCGCTGCGGGAAGGTCCCAAAGCCCAAACATGTCGTCTCCTCATCCCTGTCCCCATCCACCTCTCCGGACAGCATCGCCAGGCACCACTCCGTGCTGCTGTCCTGGGGCAACAGCAGCGCCAGGGGCGTGCGGATGTCCTCCGCGCTCCTGCGCCCGGGCAAGTACGTGGCCATCGACTGTGAGATGGTGGGCACAGGTCCTCAGGGCAGGCTGAGCGAGCTGGCGCGCTGCTCCGTGGTGAACTACGAGGGAGACGTCATCTATGACAAATACGTCCAACCTGAGCTCCCCATCGTGGACTACCGGACGCGCTGGAGCGGTATCACCAAGCAGCACATGAAGAGTGCGATTCCTTTCAAGGCTGCCCAGGCAGAGGTGAGGAAAAAGAGAAATTAAAACCACAAAAAAGGCTGTGTGTAACCTGCCAGATGCGAATTGGGATATTTGATGGCCTGTGCTGAGCTACTCTCAGGCAGACACAAGCAGAGGACGAGGGAGCCTGTGAAGCTGTGCAGTGGGTTGGTTTGCTTGACTGCTCTATTTTGGGACCATAAAAACAGGAACTGAAGGAACTGAATTTAATGCAAAATGGTTTATTTTATGCTTAATTGGTATCCTCTTTGCTGTACTGCCTGTCTAACTCTTTCTGACACTTCCAGATCCTGAAGATCTTGAAAGACAAGATTGTGGTAGGACACGCCATTCACAATGACTTCCAAGCCCTGAAGTACTTCCACCCGAAAGACAGGACCCGAGACACCAGCCGGATCCCCATACTGAACCAGAGGGCAGGGCTGCCCAGCAGGGCCAATGTCTCACTCAAGAGCTTGGCCAGGCACCTGCTCCAGAAAAAGATCCAGGTAAGCACCAGGAACCTTGGGGAGCAGTTCATGGATTTGCTGCGAGCCTTTGTGGTCAGCCTGGTCCCTCCGTCTCCATGGGTGCTCTCTGTGAGATGGAGATAAACCTTGTTCATCCCGTGCTCCTGGCTGTGATCAAGCTGGGGGAGCCCAGGACCTCTGAAACTATTAAGCATCTCAGTAAAGCAAGGACAGGACCTGTGCCCTCCAGAGCGCATTCAAGAGATGCCTGTTCCCTCAGCTGCATCAAACCTTTGCCACCTCCAAAACCCCCTGTGCTTGTGTCCTTCCAAGCAAGCAGACAAGATGACCTGTGGGATTTTTGCTGCTCCCTTTATCTAACGAGGCTTTCCCCCCTTTGCTCAGGTCGGCTGCAAAGGGCACTCATCGGTGGAGGATGCTCAGACGGCCATGGAGCTGTACAGACTGGTGGAGGTGCAGTGGGAGACAGAGCTGGCCCGTAGCCTGCCCCCCCGGCCCCCCAGCCCCATCACAGACCCCACTGCAGACAGCAACCAGTACATGGATGACCGGTACTGGCCCACAGACCTGATGACAAGCAGCCTGTGATGGGGGACAGCATCTCCTCCACGTGTTTCAGGCCATCCTGGTGCCTTCAGCTATTAAAGGTGGAGGTGGCTGCTGGCCTCCTTCCCCGGGCTTGTGCCTCATGGGCTCTGCCTGGCACCTAACTCCACTGCAGCAGTGTAGGGGAGTTGGATATCCCCAGCCCTGCTCGGGGATGGAGACATGTCGACACCTGGACACCAGCAATCTCCCAAAAATGCTGTCTGCAGCCTCTTGCTGTTGCACAGAAATAAGCACTGTGGCTGTGCCATGGTCATATGTCACTCGGTGCTCAGGGATGAGCAGGGTCCTGGTGTCAGCGTGGAGGAGCCCCTGTGGGCATGTGATGGCTGCAGCGGTGAGCTGGGGCTGCCAGGGCACCTCCCATGCCCTCTGGGAAGGGGATACCCCCCATGGGAGCAAGTGGCAAGTCTTCCTTTGGGAAGACTGAGGTGCCCAAGGGCTGCAAACCACCCGGGGCCAGTTAAACAACTAGTTTCTGCCTCACTTTTAATGCACAGTTAAGCCTGAAAAGAAAGTCTGGGTGTAATCAATGTCCAGCCTGGACAAGAGTGTAGGATGCACTTAATTTTAAATAGACTATTCACATAATTGTCCAATTCTGAATTAAAACTTGTTCTTGCTAAACCCTTGTGTATGTGCTGTATGATCTGGTCTGGCAGCTCTCCAGGAGGGAGAGAAGTGAGATGAGATTGGCAAAGAGCTGCCTGTGTACCATGCCATGCCCCAGGGCTTAAAACCCACCTGCAGCCAAAAAAGGTGCTTTGAGTGGCCTGATGATGGCTGGAGTAAGCAGTTTCTTGGGGTACCGGCTGGTCCCCTCTGCTCTGGGGAGATTCCTGTGGAGGCAAGGCAGGAGCAGCAGGGGATGGGCTCAGCTAGAGCCCTGTGGTCCAGCACTGCTGGCTCCTTGGAGAAAGCATCCTGCTGTGCCCCTCTCCAGCAGCTGTTCCAGCTCGGGGAGCTCCCCATGTTAAGGAGATCCCACTGTTGGGATTTGCCCACCCCGCAAGTCAGGGGTGCACACAGGGTCTGGGAGCACAAGCTGTGCCTGCCCTGTGGGGTGGGAACGATGCTGAACTGCTGTGACAGTGTGGGGATGGGGTGATGCCCCATGGGTGACATGTAGGTACCTGTGGCTGCACAGATGGACCCCAGCTGGGAGTGGCGTTTGGGTCTGGACATGGGGAGTCGCACACTTCCCTGGGGAACTGAACAGCCATGGTTATTATAGAAAATGGATATTTTTTTGCTGGGTGCCTCAAGGCTGAGGCCACCCCTTTAGCACTGGGGTCCCCAGTCCCGCTGCCAAGGCTGTGAGGTAGGAGGGGGCTAGAGGGCTGACAGCACCTCGGGGTCCCTCGGGAGCCCGGGTGCAGCACAGCATGGGTACGGCAGCCAGCACCAACATGGAGACTGTGTACCCTGTGGAGACCATGTTCCCTGCAGCCAGGCTAGACGTGCCCCAGGCTTTTCCCGGCGGCCAGGGGGAGGAAAGGGGAACTCAGGCCCAGCCTTGGGAAGCAGCCAAGGGAGCTGGTGATGCAGGCACACCTGACCCACGCATCAGTGCCATTACAAGACGCATCCTGCGCTTCCCATCTTAACTCCTCCCTGCCCGGCAGAGGAAGCCACGTACAGCTCAGAAATGCTTTGAAACATGTTAGATGTGTCTGAAAAGCTCTGACCTCCCCCTGGCCCAAGCACAACTGTCCTTCAACAGAAATAACAACACGGGCTGTCCTGTGAACTCATGGGCTAGGCACTCTCCACCAGACCTGGCAGAAAACGAGGCCCCACAGTAGGTCTTTAAATCCAGCTTGTGCCAGTTTGTCCCAGGCGTGTTCCTGATGCAGCAAGTTGTAAAACACAGCTGGCACCACCCTCTGTGCAAGCCTCGGGGAGCAGCTCAGCTGAGCACCAACATGATGCTGTGCAACGTCAGCAGGACCTGGCGGGATATGGGAGGGACCTGAACCCGGTGGCTGCACCCAGTGGGGTGCAGGAGGAGCACAGCTGGTACAGATTTTTCTGTTTCCTCCTCTCTGCCGGTTCCACCTCTCCTGGGGTGGCAGGAGGCAAGTAAAGCAGGAGAAAAGGTGAAAGCTCAGCAGATGGTGGCATCCCAAAGCTGACAGAGCAGTGCTGTCTCCTGCTCCTGGGAAAGCAGACCCAGAGGAAAGGCACAGCAGAGAGATGCTTTGCTCATGGCCATAGAAGCTAGCCCATATAACTGCGTCCCATCGGGGGCTACATGGGTTTGTGGGAAACTCACATGGGGCACTTTACAGCTCCTGACTTGTTTGTCCACCTGTCCCCCCCTCTTGCTGTCCCCTGAGCCCCCCCGTCTCACCACCCCATAGCACTGACTTACCCCAAACCACGTGATGGCTCGATATGAGACACAGGTGTGTTGGGGTGAGGCTGAAGAAAGCTGCAAAAGGAGGTGGAAGGCCACGAGGCTTTATCAGCCTGTGACTCAGCCTGCCTTGCCGTCAGCCAGCAGCAAGGGGAAGGCGTAATTAAGGAAAAAATACCCAACGTTTCTGAAGTCTTGACCATCCGAACACCTTCGTAAGACCCACTTTCAAAAGTAAGCCTGGGCTGGGCTCCAAGCAAGGGGCAGATTTCTCTAAGCACTCATCCGCTTTGATCCAGGGCAGCTTTTTCCCTGCCTGCCCCCAGCAGAGCTCCCCCAGGCTACCTGCACATCCCCCTGCCGGCCCTCCTGACAGCCCCAGGCTTGCACGGTGGCATGAGGTGTTGGGAAAGTCTCAGGCTGCCTCTGAGAGCTTGTCTCCATTGCCACCACACTCACTTAACACCCCTGCTTTCGGGGTAAATTTGAAGGCAGCGAGGCAGCCAAAGGCTGGCTGCTCTTTGGTGATTTCATGCCCTGCAAGCTTTGCTTCTATGCCATGATCTCCAGCACTTGAGGCAGCTGAGAACATATATGGGGGGTCAATCCCCATTTACCTCAGCTTTGAAGGGCTGGAAAAACCCCGACATTGTGCACTGCAGCTCCCCAAACCCCCGAGGCAGGGTTGCTGGTGAGCAAACCCCACATGGAAGAGGAGGGGTGGTAGTCACCCGCTTCTTACCAACAAAGCAATGTTTGCTCTGAATAATCTGAATGGCAACATTCGCCCTGTTTGCACCCAGTGAACCCTGCAAGAGCTAATCAGGATTTTCACAGGTGTTTGTGAATATTCACCTGCATGCCAGGGAGTTGCTGTGGCTGAAAGCAGCCAACCTTCGCTCTGGTTCATCACTCGAGCGGCCTGCTGGTGCTCATGCTGGGAGGCTGAGCATCTTTAGGCAGGCTGAGCGTCTTTAGACGGGTGAAGAAGAGCTGTTCTGGGTCACCATTTACACTAAATTTCGTGATAATTGAAGAATCTGCAGAAAATTCAGCTGTTATCTCAACGACCCTGAATAATGATTAACCCAAACCCATGAATCCAGCAATAGGCTTTTTTATCAGAGGGAAAACATTGTCAAATGAGGTTTTTTCCAGCCAGCTGCAAGAGCAGGTAACTGATAAGCCCGTCATTGGAGTGGGGCTGAGCCAATGGGAGCTGATGGCGACGGCTTTTACCTCTGTCTAGCAACAGCTTCTCCTTGAGCAGCAGATGGCAATTCAATGCTTTCCTTTGCTTTTATTAAGCTCCCCACTTCCTGCCCTCCTGCTACATGGGGGTTTTCACAGGGCACAGTCAGAAACTGAGTTTTTCATGGATTGTCCATGTTTTTCCGCATGTGTTGGTGTGTGTTCCTATCTCGCATGGCAAGAGCTTTGCAGCTGTAAAAGTGGATGCCTGCCCCCACCCTGCTCACGTCCTGGGCTCAGCTCACACCCTGCCTTGCCCAGGCAGCCGGGGCTCTGCTTCTGCTGCTTGGAATAGCACTGTAGCAGAATAGCAGCTGTACCAGGAGATGCTGCACCAGGAATGTGTCTGACCCTCCTGCCCTGCATCACCAGCACATGGCCATGGTCCAGCACCTCTCCCAGCTGCTGGGGGCTGGTTGCATGGGTACCACGGCTGGGAGCAGCATCCCCTGATCAAACACCAGGTTTGCTTTGATGGTGACTCTGGTTATCATGGTACATGTGGTTGAAGTGCCATGTAAGCCCCAAATGTCTTGAGGTGGAGTAATGCCAGTACCTAATAACAGCCCGGAGCAAGACCCTATCCTGAGGCAGTTTGTTCCTTCACTGGGGCGAGACAGAGGGATGATTCACCCTGGTTGTAGGCAAAGTGCAGAGGCTTTACTTGGGCAACTCGCTAGAGACCGAACCGGTTGCAGCAGAGGAAGGAACTGGCCTCCCTTTGCCCCATTGGTACCCCCACCCACCATCAGCCCTCGCCTCTACACCCCAAGGATAAATTAGAAGGCAGAAAACTCGCAGCCAGCTATAAATTAAAATCTCAGGAGCCTTAATAACCCACTTGGCCGGAAGAAGCGAATAGGTGTGATGTGGAAATGAATAGGCACATCTGGCAGCTGCTTAGCACTTCGGCTGCAGGAGGGGTGTGCGTGTGCATGTGTGCGTGTGCATGTCTGTGCGTGTGCGAACCGCCAGCACAGCCTCTCGGATTGGCTGCAAAACCCCTTCCCGACCAATGCCGGGGACCAGGGTGGCCTAGCAACAGCCTTTCCCTAATGAAAAACAAGCCACTTAACCATCGTGACTGTCTGCAGATGATAGGAAAAGGCACAATTCCCAGCACACTCCATCCTCCCCAGGGTGCTGGCCCCAAAGGGGGCTGCAAAGGCTGGGGGGGGCTGTGGGGGCCCAACCTGAGTACCTGTGTACCCCTCGGTCCCTGCCCTGCACATCCACTGGGTGCATGGGAAGGGTTTGCTGCAGGCACAACACAAGGAAGCCCCTGGGGGAGAAACCCCCTCCCACTCAGCTGTGGCTCCATCCCCTGTGCAGGCAGGCTGGGTGCTGGGCTCACCCCCAGCATGGCAAGGGGACCCCTGCTGCAGGCACCCCACAGCCCTGCACCCATAGGGCGAGCTGGGGGCTGCACACCAAGTGGTTGTGGAGACTGTGAGGGGCTGAAGATGCCAGCTCTAGGGCAGGAGGGGTTCATGGGGTGCAGTGACAGGGGCATGTGGAGAGCTCCCCAGCACCGCTGAGTAAAGGAGGAGCTGAAGAGTCGGTCACCACTGTGGTCCTGGTCAGAGATGACACCTTCCCTTGTCCCTCCGGGATTCTCTCTTCCAACAGCTGCCCAGGGAAAGGGCTCCGAGGACAGCAGGGTCAGACGCATGAGCCCCTGCCTTAGCAATAACCTCTCTGTGAGCCAGATCGCAAAATAACCTCTGATCTTATGGCTGGGGGGACCAGGGCTGGCTCTGGGGTCAGTGGACATGGGGACACATTGCAGGGGGCAGGCTGGGAGCTGGGGAAAATGGCAGATATCAAGGCACAGCATCGCTTTTGGGCTGCAGAAACGCCTCTTCCTTGGCAAACAGCAAGTGGCAGGTCAGCTCTCTCCTGGCAAGGCATGTAATGGCCAGCAAGGCAACGGGGGGAGAGCACCCAGCTCGGCACCCCCAGCACTGGCAGCAGCAGCAGTGTGGCATGGCATTTCCTCCATCCCCAGTTGCTGCAT